GTGTGAGAAATCGCTATCCCACCACGCCAATGTCAATGGCACCGCAAGAGCCCCAGTTGCCAAACGAGTACATCTGTGTTTCCCTCTGTATGTATACAGACATAGATAGGCCGTGAATATGCACACACACATATATATATATGTATATATATATATATGCATGCTACCCCCCCCTCAGCGACCTACCGTTCTTGGATTGCGCACGCCTGGTGATGAACGTCGTATGAGGACTTTAGTGACCTAAACATGCTCTCCTTTCGAGTGGTATACATAAATATCTTACACATATACCGACGACTTAGAGATTTGCTGCTCTCTTAGAGCCATGTGTGCAGTATGCAGAAACACATGTGACGAATCTTCGTTGGGGATGACGGTAATGAAGTATTTGCGATTATCCGTAGATGTTCAATAATCACATGTTAAATGAAAAAGGCATTCCGTAATTGAATATTTTTTCAAACGGATCAGAGTATAAAACGGAGGATCTTAGACGTACTTGGTATATGACTTAAATGTGAGTTGCCACCCAGTAAAATCGAACGAACGCCGATTGCAAACTGATAAAGTAATTATCCCCTACATGCTACTCACCCATCAGCTGCTGTCAGTACTTTCTTGTGCTTATGCGGCTGCCCCTGGCTGCTTCGCTACTCTGGTGCTTAGGTCACTCCTTGCCTCACGAAAATTTCGACAAAGTTCTAAGCCCTGGCCCTGAATCTGAAGTTACAAAGACACCATTATCAGATCAACAACTTCACGACTAAACCTTGCAAGGATGCCAGCTCGTAAAGCGAAGACTGAAACTTGGTGCCATGACCACAATCCCTAAAACTCACAAGGGTATCAGATCGTGGAGAGCGTGATGTCCTCCCGCTTCTCTGAGCCTAGCGGAACTGAAGAGGACGACGGTGTGGTGAATGGTTTGAGCAAGGGGTGTGCAATCTGTGAACATTTGTCAAGGATAGGGGTTAATAGGGTCTAGGGTTTTGCAGTTAATTAGTGTGTGAGGCTTGATGTGTTGTTCGTTCTATCGTCCACAGCCTCGCAGTTCAGGGTTCGAGCTATTTTCAACACAAGCTGCCACACGAGGGCGCGCTGCACACAAAAGCCTACATGCGTACACGCACACAGACAAAAAGGCACGTGTTGTCGACTTCAGGACGGATTTGCTAAAGTTGCTTGAGCTTGCTTCTCTCGTTTCTGCCTGTTAGGGATTGAGCGAAAAATGGGTCACTTGAGACTGTGTGGCCACTTGTTACTTCCGCTGCCTCGGTAGCATTCAATTTCCTGGAGCAGGAAACTGATTTGTGCCTTGAGTTGCCTGTTGGAGCAAGCTCTGCAAGATATCCAGAAATCATTTGACGCACAGCCTGCATGTGACCCGAACGCAGACCTCAGAAGTCAAGACTGCTTGATTTTGTGCAATGTAAAGTCTTCCTCGGCCCTAGATCATGAAGCAAAGTCTTTCCATCTTCACTGCCAGAGGAGTCGATGGTTCGACACTGCATGTGGTGTGGGCATCCTGTCCCATTGTGGAGGCAGCTGGGGAGGGGGGTTTTCTGGCTCGATCTTTCTGGAGGGTGTTTTTCGGATATCGTCTTTTGGATGTTCCCCAAGACGTCCAGAAACCGCGCAGATGATGGCAGAAGCCGGGTCGTGCCGAATCCTCAGCATTAAGCCCTAAGCCGTCTGCAGCTCCCAAGCTGGAAACTCCGAGACGCTGAAGGCCAAAAGCGGCAAGCCCAAACCCTGAACCCTAAGCCCCAAGCCCCAGCACGTAAACCAGACCAGTGCCATCCAGGTCGCCTGAGACGGACGGCACGGTCGATTGTCCTAACTGCGGTCGCAGGTTTGACCTGCGCAAAGCAAAAACCACCCCTCTGGGTGGGCCGTGGTAGACAAGGACGAGAGCAGAAACAGTGTGCATAAGTAGTCGCCAGTACAATTGCTTAAAAGCTCTTTTCATTCCAAGCTCTGCCTCGGATGTCTCCGTTTCATTCTATTCACCTCGTACTTAGCGCTGCTGATCGCTGTCATCACAGGGCTGTTTGAAGGAAAAGCGGCGGGGGTGGAGAGTGTCTGATGACCGGACCATTCCAACAGGTATTAAGTAGATAGATGACAAGTTTTTGCTAGTAACACTTCAAAAAGTATCTATATCTATATCTATATAAATATAAATATAAATATATATATATATATATAGGGCTCAGAACACCCCAGGAGCGGGGATTGCTAGTTGCCCCAGTGGCGAATCAGCCACGCCTCCGGCGTCCCCTCCGGGCCATAGACGCCAGCGGTTGAAGCGTTCGAGACTGCGCTCCCGCATCAGGAAACGCCGCGCTTCCGGACTGCGTCTTCGAGCGCAGGACGTCCAGGTGCTTGAAAAGCACCATTCGGCACCACGGTATCTTCGTCAAGCTCCACGGATACCACCCTCCATCATGGGAGGCAGGGGTCGCAAGCGCGACGAGGATCGCGGCAAGGGTGGCAAAGGCGAGCGGCCTGGGTATGGCTACTGGCGGGGGGCTTTCTCGCCTGCGCAGAGACCGTGGAAGGAGAAGCCTTGGACGGAACCCAAGGAAGATCGCCACCCGAAGGCTCTTTTCCCGTCATACACGGCTATGCCGAATGGGCCTCCCCCGGAGCCATCGCGATCCAGTGCAGTGTTGGATGTGACTGTGGAGTCGGAGACCATGGTGGACGATTTACAGTCGCTCCTCAATGCTGCCCGCAAGAAGGAGACTCGGCTTGCGAAGTTGACTGCAGCCAGGGAAAGAATTCTGGCGCAGTGGAACGAGTGGAATCGCCAAATGAGGGAAGCTTTTATAAAGGAGCGCACCCGGTTCATGCAGGAGGACGCGAGGCTCGAGCAGGAAATCGCCCGTGCTGCAGAAGATCAGCAGCAGGCGCGCCTGCGAGTCCGGGGCGCTTTCCTTGGAGAGCAGCCGCCACCACGAGTGCCGGCTACTTCCATGGATGTGGATTCTGGCGACGCTGCATGGGAGGCAGCTCGTGCGGCATGGTCAGCAGAGGATGGGACATCGCTTACAGGTGTTCTTCAGAGGTGTATGGCGGCTCCTGCGCTTGGGCCTCCTCGGCAGCTTCGCCCGGAATACGCGGAGTTGTATCGCAGGACGGATGGACAGGCGGGGCCGCCCCAGCCGACCCACGCGGAAGAGGTGAGTCGCCCGCCAGCTCCTGCCAATGGAGATTTCGGAGTACCACCGCCTGGCTTGGAGACACCCGCGCCTGCTTCGATGCCGGATGCCGCTATGCAGCAGCAGCTTCCTGCGGAACACCCTCGGCCTTCGGCCCCGGAATTGCGGCCGAAGGTGTCGCCCAAACACCCTGGCCAGAGAACGGGGCACAGAGTGCCGACGAGCGAAGCGCCTCCCAGGCCGGATATCAAGGTCGCTACCAAGGTGCCTTCCCAGCCATCTACTGGAGGTACTTCCTTGCAGGACCGGCTGGATGCCAAGCGAGCCCATATGGCGGGCCAGGCCATGCACCCTTTTGGCCTGACATCGGTGCCTGCCCCGATTCCGGAGGAGCCTCCACCGGCTCCCTCAGTGGACCAGGTAGCGGCAGCTGCCGCAGTGGTACCCGACGATTCAGACGAGCTGAATGGGGGCGGCGGTCCTTCGCCAGGCTTTGGCAATCTGGAGTGAGCGGCCTCTGCTGTCGGCAAGCTATGGGTAGGCTGAGCTCAGGAGGATCACCCCGTACATATGACGTCAGGTGTGACCCGTGGAGGCCCAGCTGTGCGAGATCCGCTGGGAGGATCTCCTCAGCTATGTTCCACCCCGGGCCTCACGGCTGGCGCTATGTGTGCGGGGAGATGGATTCAAGAGCTCAGCGGTTTCACGACAGTGTACAGGGCCAGGTAGCGGAATTTCTTTTTCTACCTCCCAAGGGTACGGGGCAGTGTCTACGCTGCCAGCCTCAGTTCGCATGCAGTGACCCTCTTCTGCAGTTGAGGCTTTCGGTTGTGAGGCGGCCAGGTCCAGGTCCTTGGGGCTCGTTTGGGCTTGCTCCTGCCTGTCATGCGGCTTCCCTTTCCACTCTGCCTGATCGATGCTTTCTGCCCTCTGCTATCTGTCATTATGCTTCTTTTTCGGCTCCCCTGACATCACCTTGGGTTCCGGTGATGTTCGTGCGGGGCCTTGGCCCTGTCGGCTCGCACCCGCGTGCTTCGGCCCTTTGCATCGGCGATCATTTGGCTGTCCTGGACTTGTTTCCCGGCCCCGCTGTCTGCAGTCCCCTGCAGGTGTGGGTTCCGCGGCACGACGGGCGGCGACTGCGTGGGAGGAGGCTGCTTTTGCTCCTTTGCCACTCTTTGGTCGGGTTATTGTGTGGTTTCGTTGTGGGAGCGCATAACATGCGAATCGGTTGCTCTGGGTCGCAGGCCCCACACGCCCACCTTCTCGACTCCTTTCGGCTTTGTGAGCTTGCTTGTCTTGGGGGTTCCAGGTGTTTCGTCATCGGCCTCCTGCATGTTTTAAGGCGAGGGTTTTGTTCTGTTGCCTCGTCTAGCTCTTCCATGAGGGGCTATTGCCTTTCTTTCGAGGAAGCGCCTACACTGGCAGCAACGCAGGAGTTTGTGTGCCCAAGAGGGAAATCGGTGGCTCGGGGTTCCCCACCAAACTTTTTGCGTGCTGCGTCTGCTTTCTGGCCTTGCGTTGCGCTTGGCCTCTTATGTGGCCCTGCGGCATTATTTTCCGTGCCTAAGGAGACAATGCTTGCGTGGACCGAGCAACAGGCGAGCTCTATGTTAGCTTGTCTTGCACTCTCTACGTTCTTCGGTCTCTGTGGGTTGGCTGGCAGATGCCTCCCCTTCAGCGTGCTCCTTTTGCGGCCAGGCCGTTGGCTATGCAAGGCCGAGCTTGCGATCTGTGCTGTTTGCAGCTTGAGTTGTGCCTCGTCTGTTGATTGTGGCCCGCTTGATTGGCGTCCCCTCAAGCCCTGCAAGCACAGCAAGAGAAAGGCGTGATGTGATGCCCGCGGTGGCTGCTGGGATGCCTTGCGGAAATTTTGGCCGTTCCCGCGCCCTGTCTGTGTCCTTGCTTGGTTCTTAGGCTTTGCGTCGCTGCCTGTGTTTTGTGAAGCGGGTTTCTCGGGGCGGACTTTCCTGCCTTTGGCGCTTGCCGCTCCCCGCTTACAGGTTGGCAATGCCACTATTTCGTCAAGCTTCCCGGGACTTGGAGCTCCCTATTCTGTTGGCGTTGAGGAGCTGGTTACGTATGTTGGTGACCCTGTTTCTCCTGCAACTCCTAGATTCCCGGAAGCTTCGCAGAACATACCATGGCTTGTCAGCAATGTCTCCGACCTGTCTGCCTGGGCGGACAATGAGGCAGGCCGATGGCTGGGAGTACACGTCTTCGCCCCTCATTATCGGCCAACTGTCGCTGCGGTGCGCTGTCTGCATTTTCACGACGCCCAGCATGTTATTGACGCAATCTTGGATTTTGCGCCTGGGGGACCACCTGAGGTCGCCATGACATGTGTTCCCACACGCCCTCAGTGCAGCTCTGACGCCGGCAGCGTTCTGCGGTTCCCCACGTTTGTGCGCCTGCACCCTCTTGGCCCGCACGTTGCTGTGCTGCTTGACCTCCGCCTTGTGGGAGGTCATCGGTTTGCGTGCATTCTCCCCGCCCACTTCACGCTGCATACATTGCTGGCATTTGCGGAGAGCATGGCCTCCTTTTCGGAACAGGGCTTACTTGTCTATGTAGGGGCTACTATCTCCCCTCACAGGCAGGACTCGTTGCGCTTACGTGACGGGGATGTGCTTCTGTTTGCGCGGACTTCCCTGGACCGACGCACTTCTGCGAGCTTGGAGGGCCTTCTTGCGCACCCTTCGCGCTGGATGTCTCCTGCTGATTTGCGCGTGGCGTCAGCCACTGAGGGGCTCCTGGTGCAGTACTTGCAGGAGCGTTTCTTTATGCCACCGCATCATCATAGCGGCCAGGACGCGGTCACGGCCGTTTGCGGCGCGTACGATGTCCAGCCTTCCGAATGTGTCACTTGCGCATTTTGCACTGGGGACCTGGAATTCCGGGGCAACGCGTGCTCGCATGTACTGGGCCTTTTTACCCTTCCCTTGGCACACCTCAACGCTCCTCCCAATGAAAGAAGGCGCGATTTTGTGGTTTTGTGCGACTTTCGTCCGGTTGGGTATAGCCCTAGGGCGGCACTGGTGCATGTGCCCATACTACATCTTCCGTCCATTGCCGCGTTGTTCGGTATTCGAGTACCTTCGGGCTATCGGCTGCGCTCGTTGAATGGTACTCAAGCTGGAGATGAAGTTGAATTTGTTGGCCACCAGGTGCTTACCTTCGTCTTTGAAGAATGCCCTGATACGGAAGCCCGCGTCGAGGCATATGTGACGCTCGATGACCTTGTGGATGGGTCGCCACCTTACCATGATGTGCCGGTCCATTTTCGTGCCAGTGACCGCTCCCAGGCCTCCGCAGCAGGTCGTAGAGGTTCACAGGAGGTGCACAGGTCTAGGTCGAGACGTGGCAGGTCCACTACGCATCCGTTCCCTGAGAGAGCGGGTGCAAAGCCTGGGCTTGCCCGCCAGCACTTCCCCCATGCCGACGGACTAGATAGGCTGCAAAGTAAGGCGTTTATGTGGAGTTGTGGTTTGCAACAAGATGTCCTTGAGGAGGGCGCCCATGACTTCACCCCTATCTGCCCTGCCAGTCAAGCCTGTCCCCTTGGGCCCTGGTTCACGTCGTTTGCGTGGCCAGTTAAGCTCGCTAGCTCGTCGATCGTGGGGCTCTGCCAGGTGTACAAGTTGCTCACTGAGCCAGAGTCCAACTCTCTCCCTTCACGGGACAGGGTTGAAGCTGCTCGGGACTTCGTCGAGGGCGAAGGTAGGGTCTGGCCGTTCCTGCCTGCGCACGATCCGCATGCCTTGCAACGTATTGCAGAACGTGCGGAAGAGGAAGCCCAGACGCTTGACTCTGAAGAAGCGGCTGAGTTCACCATGTGCCTGTTGACCCCGGGTTATCTCATGGAGGAGGTTGTCATTGCCCTTGTTCCCCCGGCAGAGGTCCCTGACGCGCTGCAGTTGACGCAGGACGCACGGGATCCTGTCCGGAGGAGGCTTTTTCCTTCCTTGACGGTGGTTGACCCTCAACCCTCTCAAGGGTATGGGGTCCTTATCGCATTGCCAGGCTGGGCCACCCCGGAGGTGGTGATATGCTTCTCACTCCTGGATGTGGACGAACGTCTTTTTGCGGCATCCGTGCCGGCAGTGGCTTCTCGCGAGCGCCTGCTTGCAATTGCAGATCTCTCACCGCCAGACCTCTATGACGTCTACCTAGAGGGGTCTCCCACTCCGATGCAAGTTGGGGAAGAGGCGCCAATGGCGCTAGGGCTATGCGTTTTCTGCATGAACAGACACGAGCTCCCTGGCCCCTACTTTCACTTGCCGGAAACGTTGTTGACGTCGATGGTTTGGGACGACAATCCTGCACTTCCTTATGGACCCGACGACGGTCACATGTGCTATGTCGGAGAGTGTTCTATGCGTAGGGTCCCCCTGCCAGCTGACATGCCGCTCCCTGACAACAGCCAGGTCGCTGCGGCGTTCGGTATTCAGCTCAGCAGTATGCTTGTTCAGCCAGCCTCTCCCATCACACGCGATGTTACCATGGAGGGCTACTACTGCTACAACGTATGTGCTGCATACTGTCCGGCAGCCGGGGAAACAAGTGACCGCTCCTGCATTATCCTGGTGGACTGCCGCGCCATGTTGCAAGGATGGCAGCTTGTCTTCTGTCCAGAGGGCATGCTGACCCGAGCACAGCTTGTCGAGGACTTATCTACTTTTGCTCCTGCCGGGTGGGAAGTACATTTGGAGGGTCTTGCTGGTGCTGATGACATCTACGATGTCACGCCAGGACAGGTTGTTTACGCCTCCTATGTCTTAATTCCGCATCACTGGCAGCCTTACCCAGGCCAGGCCCTTGGCTCTGAGCATGACGTTGAGCCGTCAATTGGAGACTCCTCGGATCCTGCCGGTAGCTCTATGGAATCTTCCTTGAGCTCGGACGGCAGTTCCTCGCAACACCCCCGCAGCCGCTCCCCTTACCGGGATAGCACACACATAGTGAGTGGATCAATTGCCGAAGTTCCTTTCGTTTTGCTCGGCCAGGAATATGCCCCTGAGCTCGTTGTCGTTCCTCTCTCGCCCAATGCTGATGTTGACCAGGTGCTGGAACAAGTGCAGGCTCGTCGCGACATCACTTGTCGAGAGAGGTTCGGGCGCATCGTGCCTGTGCACCCGCAACCGTCGGGTGCATATGCGTTGGCTGTTGTTCAGCCCCCTTGGAGCCAGGAGCTCCTTGTGGTTTTTGATTGCCTGCGCGTCACCGAGGCGATCTACTGCTGGGTTGCGTCGCCTGCCATGACGCGGGCGGCTATCCTTGCTGTTGTTGGCGTACCTAATACAGGTGAGTTTGAGGTGTATGCTCCGGACAGTGACCTTCCCATGGGCCCTACCGATGTTTGCCAGCTACAGACGGGGTCATGTGTTTCCGTCATTCCCAGCACGTGCCCGATGTTCGTTGTTGCCCCGCTTGCTGACATGCTGCTGTCAGGGGCAGGTTGGGACACCGAGGCGACCTTGCCGTGTGTGCCTGGAGAATGGCTGCATGTCCTATCGGACACCGGGCCGGTCTCGCTGCAGCTTGCGGCCGGAACTCCTGAAGCCGTGCTGCCCGACGTTGCTGAAGCAATCGGATTGCCAGTTGATCGTGCCTCTCTTCAGTTCGCGGCCCCGCCGCTGACGGATTTCGCCGACGAAGGTCGGCTGGCCTGGAATATTGCAGCCGTGACCAGAACCGGTGCACTTCCCGAAAATCCGGAGAGATGCGTTTACTTCATCGATATGCGAGCCATCTTGTGCGGCCTTACATGGGCAGCTACCCCGGACGGCACTGTCTCTGTTGCTTTGATCCGAGAGCAGTGCGGACGGGCGGCTGCCGGCGGTCGCCTTGTTGAAATCATTGGCGGCCGTCCTTTTCATGGACGTGAGGACATCGTTTGGGTTTGGCCTGGGGCTGTCCTTCGGGTTCACGTTGTGACTAGGTCCCTGGCTCCTCCCTCTGCTGCCTCTGCTCCTGCCCCCCGCCACGAGGACGAATCGCATCCAGACTCCAGCGGCCCCGGCCAGCTCCCTGATCGAGGATATGGATGTTGCCGAGGCTGATGACTCCGCCACGTCTGCAGCTGGACCCTCGGGAATGATGAATGATGCGCCACACGGTCATACGCTCATGGTTCTTGCTGCATTTTTCATGCTTGCCTTGTGCGTTGGCGCAGCTAATCAGAACGCTTGTCTCGTCGCTTGCCTTCTCCACTGGCGGCGTTTCCGCCTTCCAGCGGTTGCCTGTCTGCTGGCGCTGTCGGCGGGAATGCCTTGCGCTGAATCTGTCCAGTTTCGCCCCTTCTCTGCAGGGTGTCTTGAAGGGGGCTCTTCGTCCGGGTGCGCCTTTCCTGACCGCCGATGCCTTCCGACCCCTTGCCGTGCGAACGCGGGGCTTCCTCGTGTTCATGGTGACCATGGGGCTCCCAGTCTCACCTGCCTGGATGACCTGGACCAAGGCGACGGAGCACTTTCGCTCGGGCTCATCACTCTCCTTGAGGCGTGTGTCAGGGACACCGACGGCCGCCCTTTCTTCGAAGCCGCCGCTCTTGTTGAGACTTTGGTTGAGCATTTTGCGGGTTTAGGTGACAGCCCTGCGTGTTTCCCGGACGCCCACTATTCGCTCTCTTACGCGCATACTGGTTCTGGCCAGCGTGTCGAGTTGAGTCTTGACAGCTTGATTGGGCGTCCTGAGATGATGTCCAGGCCGAGCGCGCTTCCGGTCTCCGCGCCGATGGCAAGTGAGGCCTGCAATAAGGAGCCTCAGTTCTTTGACCTCACTCGCTCTGGCTGCTCCCTCCCTGGGGAACAGGGGCTGATGCGGAGGTTCTTTGACAAGGTCGCCTTTTCCTCATTGCTCACTACTCCTGTCGGGCTCGAGCGGTCAGGCCGTTTTGATGCATGGGTCCAGGCAGGCATGGCCGGCAGGTCCCCAGGGCCCTCGGAGGATCTGGTACTGACCTCTGATGGATCTTTCAAGGCTGATTCCTCGTCGGCAGGATGGGGCATCGCCTTTAGTTTGCGGGGCTCCGATCAGCTGCAAGAGGCTGGTCAGTTCGTAGGCTGTCTTTTCGGGTCGCTGGCCCCCTTCTCGCCATTCGTAGGTCATGCCCACTCTCCTGACGCCTACGACGCTGAGGTCGCTGGCCTCCTGTGGTGTGCGGTTGCTCTCGCACAATTGCCGATCCGATGTCGGGTCGTGATACGGGCCGATAACGTGTCGGCGTTATGGGGGGCGGCGGGCATGTCACAGATGCGAGCCTCCCCCTTTTGTGCAGCTGCACGAGCCTTGCATGCCTCTGTGGGGATCGTGCTCCAGGGACGGGTTAGTTATGAGCACGTTCGCGGACATTCGGGTGAGGTTTCCAACGAACTGGCCGATGCACTGGCCGCCATGGGGGCTTCTGGTCGTACCTCCACGCATCCATTCCGATTCGATGTTCAGGCCTTCCTGCGGGAGGATGGCCTGGTCTCTCGCTGGCTGCCCCATTTTGCCATGTCCACTGCTCGTGCTCATGAGCTTCCCCCTCTCCATGACGGTGCTTTCTCGTGGGAAAGTACGCCAGGAGAGGCTGTGCAGACTCCCGGCTTCTCTATGCGGCCTTTTCTCCGAGCCTTCCCCGAGCTCTCGGGGCATTCAGGCTCTCATGGCGGGACGAAGTGGATACAGCTGTGCGTGGCCTCCTTCAATGTCCTTTCCCTCGCCGAATGTCAAAAGGAAAAAGAGGCTGGCCTTCACGGCTCCGCTGGGCGTCCTTCTCTTTTGCGTGACTCACTACATTCCGTAGGGGTTCATGTCGCTGGCCTCCAGGAGTGTCGCACGCCTGCGGCTACGATGACATGCGGTAGCTACTCGCGCTTTGCCTCTGGATGCGACGAGAGCTCTTGCTTTGGCGTGGAGCTCTGGGTTAGCTCTGAAGGACCGTGCCCGCCCGAATCTGTTGTTGTCCTTCACACTGCGCCTACCATTCTCATTGCCAGTGCTCGTCTAGGGCAGCAAGCTATCCGGATACTGGTGGGTCATGCGCCGCATCGTGGCCATTCGACTGCTGCGCGAGCTGAGTGGTGGCGTGCCACTTCCCACCTGTGCCATTCCTACTCGAAAGGTGTGCCTTGGATCTTCCTGCTCGATGGTAACTGCCGTATCGGGAGCCGCGAGACCTCCGCGGTGGGTGCCTATGAGGCGGACCCTGAGGATGATGCTGGCACTTTGCTTAACGATCTTCTTGTCGGGTTTGATATGTGCATCCCTGCCACTTTCGCCACTACCATGTTTGGAGCTGGCGGAACCCTTTTCCAGAAGCGAACGGGTGAGCTGGATAGATCGGACTATGCTTGTGTGCCCAGTAGCTGGCTGGAGGGCGGATGCCAAGCATGGGTTGATCCTGGCATCACAGCAGGTCATGGAGGCTTGGACCACCTGGCTACTGTTTGTCGCTGCGCTGTCTCCCTGCTGAACGCTCCCGACTGTCGACCACGGGCGCAGCGGATAGACGCACGGGCGCTGTCAGATCCTGCCAATACAACGCAGATAGCCGACATCATAAAGGCTGCGCCCCGACCGACATGGGCTACAGAGGTAAGTGAGCACGCTGCCATTGTCGTGGACTACCTCTACACTTCCCTTGTTCGTTTCTTCCCCCAACAGCGCCGCCGGCTCAGGGCCTCGTATTTCTCTGAAGAAACCCTGGCCCTACATCAGGCAGTCGCCGACTTGCGCCATGCTGTACGCTCACGCACACAGGCTCTCAGGTGCACATATATCCGATGCGCCTTTCTGGCGTGGCGATCCGAGTCGGTTGACTTCTGCTCCTTGTTTCACGGCGGGTGGCTCTGGGATCTCCGGGTCCGGCTGGGTCATAACTGCATGCTGCTCCGCAGATTTGGACGCAGACTTCGGTACACCTGCAAAAACGACAAGGCTACGTACCTCGGAGCACTGTCGGACGAGGTGGCCAAGGCCCCCACGGCTGAGATTCACCGCGCGGTTCAGAGGGTCTTGCGACCGCGGAAGTTTCGCAAGGCTGCCAATGACCCCCTGCCCAGGCTTCTTAAATCCGACGGAACTTTCTGCAGCACTTCGGCTGAAGTCGCGGATACCTGGAGAGATCACTTTCGAGTGTTGGAAGGGGGTGTGCTCGTTGATGCGGCCGATTTGGAAAGGAAGTGCCGCTCCTTTCAATCCTCGGCTGACCGCCCCGACGTCTTGGAGGTCGCGGACATGCCATCATGGACGGCGCTGGAGAGTGCATTTCGGCACTCGGCTCCGAGGAAAGCCTCGGGACCCGATTTGCTTCCACCAGCGATTTGCAGATCCTTCAGTGCTCCTTTGACGGAACTATTCTGGCCCTTGTTGCTCAAGAGCGTCTGCTACGCTGCAGAGCCAGTGGGCATGAAGGGAGGCGTAATGTTCCATATTAATAAGGGCAAACCGGGCTCGCAAAGTGACTGTGCCGCGCACAGGGGCATTCTTGCCCAATCATGCCTGTCCAAGGTTTTCCACCGCTCTCTCCGCGGCTTGGTCGTCAACCACTGGTCTCGTCATTCGATGCCGCTCCAAATCGGGGGGAAATCGGGATGTAGCGCGGCCTTCGGGCACCTGTGCTCCCGCTCTGTTCTGAGCTTTGCCAGAGCCTCCCAGAAGTCGGCTGGGCTGCTGTTCGTGGACCTGCAGTCCGCTTACTACGCTGTCATCCGAGAAACAGTCTTGGGGGGAGGGCTGTCGGAACGCCCATTGGTGGAGGTCGCGAGCGCTTTGGGATTGGACTCTGAGGATCTACAGATCTTGAAGCACTACGCGGAGGATGAGCCTGTCCTGCAGCAGCAGGATGCCTGTCCTATGCTGCTTGCCATGGCTAGGGAGCTGCACAGGCAAACCTGGTTCGTGCTTGCCGGCGACTCTCAGTCTCACATCGTTGAGACGCAGCGGGGAACCCGTCCCGGGGGTACCCTGGCAGACGTCCTTTTCAACGTGCTGTTTGCTAAGGTTTTGTCCAGGCGAAGGCAAGCAGGCAGCTCTCCCCTGTCTCCCCAGATTCCTTGGAGCGGGGACCGTACTCCGTTTCCTGTGGAGTCACAGGCTCGTTCTCAGGTGCTTACGGTGACTGACATGGCCCACGCTGACGATCTGTGCACTCCTGTGATTTGCGACAACGCGTCGCATTTGCGCGGGGCTGTCTCATCTATGACCGCCGACACGATGGATGTCCTGACACCCCACGCTTTGCGCCCAAACCTGGGTCCGACGAAGACTGCTGCTGTGTTCGCGCCGGTGGGCAGGGGCTCGCGCGAGGCCCGGCGAGAAGCCTTCGTCTCTCTGAAAGGGCGGACCCCGGTCTGGCCTGACAGCAAAGGGCTTCTCTGGCTCGACCTGGTTCCACGTTACCGGCATTTGGGGTCGATAGTGACCCATGATTGCAAAATGGGCCCAGAGATTCGTCATCGGCTCGCCCTGGCGTCCTCCGCCTTCCGGGAGGGAAAACGGAGGCTCTTTGCATGCAAAGCTATTCCTCTGCAGAAGCGAGCTGTACTATTTCGTACCCATGTTTTGTCGGTACTGTTGTCCGGTGCTGGCAGTTGGCCGAAGCTGTCCACGGGCGAGTGGCAGACTTTCCGCGGCGGCGTACTTGGTTTTTACAGACAGCTCTTGTGCCTACGCTCGACTGGCGATTGGCGGCACACGGAAGCGCAAATCTTCGCGGCAGTGGGGCTTCCGTCCGCTGGTGCCTTGTTGCATGCGGAGCGCCTTCGTTTTTTGCGTCAGCTTGTCTGCAGTGCCCCCGATCATGTATGGGCCTTGTTGAGCTGGTATCGGCCTTTCCAAGAAGGCATCCGAGATGCGTGCCGCTGGTTGTACTCCCTCATTGGGACCACTGTTCCGTTTGGGCCACTCGAGGACTGCTGGGGGGACTGGTCCGAGTTTATCAAGTCGCGCCCGGGCCACTGGAAAGGTCTTATTAGGCGTGCGGAGGCCAGCGACATTGAGCGGAATCTCCTGACAGCCGCCTATGACAGGGCTGTTCGCGCGGCGTGGGAGCCTGTGGCCCCGCCCCCGGTGTCCCCAATGGAGGGGATGGAGCACGCCTGCCTTTTGTGTGGCCTTGCCTTCGCATCACAGCAACAATGGGGAGCCCATGCCCAACGCAAGCACGGTTACCGCAACGCCGCTTCTAGGCTTGCGGTGGGACGCCGATGCCTGGCCTGTGGAATGCAGTACTCTTCTCAGGCTCGCCTGAAGAATCATCTGCTTGCGTCTGCGAAGTGCAGGCATGCTCTCGAGGACTTCCCGCCTGCTGCGCCAGTCCCACCCATCCTACAGGATGGGCACGTTCAGGCTCCCTCGGTACAGGTATCACGGCCTGGGATACCCGTGAGCAATCGTGAGGACTTCAGTCTGGGCCTGATGCAGGAGCTTCGTCAACTCGTCGTGGCTGATGACCAACAGATCTACGACGTCGTTGCCTCTTTCGTTGAGCCTTTGCCCGTGCTCCGCCGCACCTTACAGTTGTGGGTTGAGACTCCCCTTCCTGACGCCCTGGCATCTTCAGCTCAGGATGTGCTTCTGGTGCTTAAGCCGGATTTGGTTTGCTCACAGGTCCAAGGCAAGTTGCCGGTCGCGGCAGAGGTTCCTGCATTTGACCCGCTGATTGTTCCCACTCCCAGCCGAGGTCCTATCACCGGAGGAACGGTCTGTGTCGTGGGACCGGTGGACCATGCATGGCTGGCAGCGTGGAATCTCATGGATTTGCCCAGGGATAGTCTGGATTTGGCTGTTACTGGGTGCGTTCCTGAATCATGCTCGGGTCTGTGCGTCACTCTGCCGCCTGCTCCCCTATGTGCAGAGAGCTTCTTGCGCCCGGCCTCCCTTCCGCTCAAAACTCTGCGCCTTGTCAATGCTTGGACTTCCCGATTCTTGGCCGCGCTACCGCATGTGATTCGCACTGCTTCTCGCGGCGTGCCCGTACTCCTCCGCGTTCCTGCTGGTAGAGCACAGTTTGAGCCCGTTTCCACCTGGCTCCTGCGCGCATCCGCGACGATTGAGGAGGGGCTTTCACCCAACTGTTTCACTCTTGAATTCAATGCTAAAGGCACGTCGCTCTGACTTTGCGCCTTCCGAAGCAAAAAAAATATATATATATATAAATATACTGGATTAGAATATCTTTGCATGTTTATGTGTATATATATATACACATGTGTATGTGTGTGTGTTTATGCAATGATATGCAGCTGCGTCGGTATGCGAGCATGCATGTGTTGCTGCCATGTCTAAGGTTGAGGCTTAAGGCCTTAGACAACGCGTTGATGCAGACTGCCAAAGCCCAAAGAAGACTTTCCAGGCTGTCAGGAGCTATGTATCTCTCACGTTCTGGGTTGCATGGCTCAGATCCGCATGTCTGGTTGGTGGTTCATTTGCAATGTTTGGCGCAGTTCGGGTTTCCTGCAAGTTTGTCTGGCCCGGAAGTAATTTCACCCGTTAAATTGTACTTATGTGATAGGCTAGGGATGTCGGATCCCTTGTTTGCAGTGCGCTGTGGCTCCAGAAGTACAGCCGTGTACAGCCCCAATCCCTTGACCCGAAGCCTCAAGCCCGAGCTGCTCACTCATCTTGCACCTTGTGGCCTGCTCCCGCAGCACTCTGAAGTCCTCAAGCTTGACATACGTCCAGGGACGACAGCCAACGTCTCGTACTTACGGTAGGGTTTTGACATTGCACCGTCATCAAGCTAAACGTGGTCATAAGCAGAGTAAGCAGTTGCAGGTTTACAGGGTCGTACATAGTCGCGGAAGATTCGTTCTCCACTTCGTGTTTATCAACATCTTGACTGACTGAATGACTGACTGACTGACTGACTGACTGACTGACTAACTGACTGCTGTTGCAGCAGTGGGTCCGCGCACCAGCAGGCAAGCTCAAGGTTCACTTTCTATGCAAGAACCCATTGTTCTTTAAGCCGCGAGACGTTTTTGTGGCCATGGCGGATTTCGCTAACTGGCTCTACCCCCCCGGGCAGACGTGGCCACCTGGGCAGGCCAGAGACTAAGCATCTACTTCAGTCTTTGGGGTTTAAAGCTCAGGACCTTTCAAGTAGAAGGGTTGAAGATTTGGTCCTCCTGGCACTTATCGGGTTTAGGACTTAAATCTTTGGGACTTGGTCTAGGATTCAGCGGTTGGGATTTCGCGATGCTGGTTCTGGCTCCTTGGTGCCTAGAACCTTTGGCTTCTCGAAAGTCGCTAACGATAGTACACTCGAAACTGTAGTGCTGCAGTGGTGCCAGCACTTGGGGTCATAGCCGGCCAGGCCCAAAGCTTTCTTGCACAGGGCTGCAGTGCTGGCGACGTTTGAGATTCACGGCTGTAGCGTCCAAGGGTTCAAGGTTTAAACAGGGAACTAGATGGTTGCTTTGCGGCAGTGGTTGCCTGTGAGGTGCCTTGCCTGTTCAAATTCAACGGTAGCTTGTCCCAGAAGTCTTAACGAGACCTCATGCCGAAGCCGCCTCGCTTGGTTCCTCCTCAGGGATGTTTCGGGTCAAGGGCTCCGAGCTTGAGCGGCGGTAGGGGCTTGGCCCTGAATCCCATGCTTCCCAAAGCACCAGTAAGTAGCTGTTACGGAGAGCTTGCAATCCTCCCCAAACCCTCAACCAGTTCATGCCCGCCCCAATCCAGCCCAAGACCCAATGTCTTGTACACCCAAAGCCCAAATCCTCATTCAGTTTGACACGAAACTGTTGCTCTAAGCTTTCAGGCCCCCAGCGCGGATTAAACAGCCCTGCAGCTCTTCTAGTAACCCTTACAGTAAACACAACCACCACATTTTGGTGACCTTTATATAAACTCTTTGGAGACCACCAATCATCATAGCCTCATTTCATGGTAGCCTTTATGCATTGCTCACCGCAGCCCTATTTAAAAAAAGCTGAAGAGACGAGGCCACTGGAGCCGGCGACTGGGACCCTGAGGCGTGGCTTCCGCAGCAACCGGAGAGCCACTCGAAGCGAAAGCGTAACTCGGGGCTTAGGGTTTTGACCGGGCTTGGGATGATTCATCGGGCTTAGGGCTTTGATGCAAAAAGATGTTGAGGTTAGTTGGGGCTGTATGATGCTTGAGGAATGAGTGTCATGAGGGGGGAACGGACTTCAAAGTGGACGCAGGGCTCCGGATGCCAGTTTCGGGGTTCGGGATGCAGGATTCTGATGCAAACAGTTGGCTCACAACCCCAGCCCTATAACCCACCCCCACCCCCATTCCGGCCTTACATAAGCCTTACATGAAGCAGGTCCTATATTCGGGTCTTGATGAATTTTGTGTACCTTTGGATCCGTGCCTGCCTTGTGCGAGTGCGCGCGTCTCAACCCGAAACCTAATAACCTCACTTTCGGAACCTAAACTTTCAAACCCGTGATCCTAGATACCAAAGCCTCAAGCCCTACAGTTCCTAAGCCCAAGCTCATCTAAACGGATAGCAGACATCTCAGGTGGTGACTGGCAGCCCTCCTTTGGGTTTGCCTCAGCGCCGAGCAAGTTCTTGGGACGCATGGTTCGAGCGATGCTCGAGATTTCTTTATTCAGTACTTCTGCGTCTTCTTTTGAGTATCACAAGCATGTTAGCCGTGATTTATTTAGGATTGAAACATATGGTTGTGAGCTTGTGGGATCCATCTTCAGGCTTTTGGGCGCTAGGGGTTTCTTGGGTGTGGGAATTTTTGGCCCGAGGCTGCTAGAATTGTTGGCGCAGGGCGTGCTCGAGGCGTATCCACTGGTTTAGGTTAGGGTTCCAGCACGCCAGAATCACCACTGCTTTTCTCGTAATAATATGTACAATGACGATGAATTTCTTCGTCATCCTGATGGCCAACAGACTTTGAGGGAACTGGAGGCAGGGATTGCGCTCGTGAGACGAATTCATGATGTATTGAAGCTGTTCAGGGTTTAGACCTTGAAGCCCGATTGCCTAGTATGCAAAGACATGGGCAGTAACACTGGCACAGGCAAGTGGACTTCGACAGTAAGGTTTGGGCTCACTTCAAGCACCCAAAGACGAAAGCTTTCGGCAAACCTCCTCGACCAAGGCCCCGGCCAGCGCCCGAGGCGGGGAGATGTTCGGAACTGGAGGTTCCGCTTCTTTTTCGGGGAGGAACCTTAAAAGCCTCATTGTAAAGTGAAGCTGTGCTTCAGCTTCATTTTCGGCTCGTAGTGTGCGCCGTCAGTTCGGTGTCGAGCCCCATGCATCGGGCAGTTGCAGTTGCCAATAAACTCCTGTAAAGACTCTGGAAGCCCCGACGACAGGCTCCTCTATCCGGAGTCCTGCCTCAGCAGCCGCCGCAGCAACGCTTCGTCCCTGGCACGCGGAAGCGAAAGCTTTGCATTCATCACGAGGCTGAGGGAGGGAGAGAGTGAGAGAGAGAGTGTATAACAATATCCGAAACTCGAACATACCTTT